CGTTCCTCTCCTATACCAGCGAGGTACGCCAGTCCGCAGCCAGCACAGCCCGAGGCCATCAGACGCCGAAGGGTGCTGGCCAGGAATTGCAGAGGGGCGTCGGCCTTTCGCCCTCAGCTAGTCGGATTCTAAACTTCGGGCCACATATGTTCCCCTCCGCATATACTATACTAAAGAATACTAAAAGGGTACTGAAGAAAAACCTGTGACTGTCTCCAGACAGCCAGGACACAGCTTTGAGCCAATTGGCCAAGGAAACAAAACAATCCTCAGCAGAATCCAATGGACAAATCACTTCAGGTAAACAATCTTCCTAACACATTCCACATGTGCAAAACCAACAGGAGCTGCAAGTAGAGATAAGAATTGTTTTCTCTTCTTCTCTCTGTTCTTCTCCAGGAAAAACCCTGAGAGAGAGAATGATGTCTCTCTCTCTTCGGAGAATGTGAATGCCACTTCCATTAAATGTAATATAAGGAAAAGCTGTGTGTTTGGGACAGATGCTTCCTGTTCTCCTGTGCCCAGATTATTTTTAAGCATCACAATTAGTTTCAAAAAAACCACCACCCAGCCAAGCCCATTTCATTTAAAAGTACTGTTTACTTTAACAAAAGTTACTATCTTACTCTGCTGCCTGTCAAACTTGGGCAAGGCCACTTTTCCAAGTGCAGTCACATGGCTTTGAAATTGGATATTTATCCATGGATTTTTCTGCTTGTAGAGAGCTGCCAGCAAAAGCCAGGACACATGAATTCCTGTATCTTGTTCCTCTGCTTGATATTTCTTAGGAAAAAATGTTTTCTCAACAGAAGACTCCTCCATTGGAAATGTGCTGCTAATTGTCATGGACTGCTAAAAACCAGAAAATACAATTATTATAACACTAAAAAACTTTTGCAGGTGTTTTTCCAACATCTCCATTCAGATACTGGCCCTAGGGGCTATGATAGTTTGGAAAATAGGATTTTAAGAATGGAACAGTCAGAATAAGTGATGTTTCTACAAAGCTGGAAAAATGATCAGAGTATTTTATTTATGATGTAAATGCAGTAACCAAAGTCAAAATAACATGACTGTTGATGTAAGTACCCAGTGACTAAGGTTATAGTGTAGAAACTAGTGTAGACAATTAATTAAAAATGTTCTTATTTACAGAGATGCTCATTCATGGAGCACCCCTACTCTGACTAGTGGAGTTTCTTCCTTTCAGTACCTGCCCAGCAAAGGGCACACAGACCTCCCCAAGCAGCTTTTGAGCTGGTGTGAAGTGTCTGCTCTTCTCTGGGTGCCAGTCCATCCTGAGCAGTGCCACAGTGTTCTCAGAAATGCCCTTCTGAGAGCTCCTCTGATTTAATAAACACTTCAGTATTTGCAGCCAGCAGTATCTGATTATGTTTTTGTTCTTTGTGAGTTTAACCTCATACCCACAATATTTTAGAGCTGCTCCTTGTATTTCCAGGCCCAAAAATTATTATTGATTTAATAAATATATTGCCAACACATAGGTGTGTGGGGAACGGGCCTCAGTCATGACTTAAGGAGAGGAGACTTACACTTTGTGTAAAACAGTACCTTGCTATTCATGCAAAAGTGTTTTTTCCTCTTGTGTTTAGCTTGTCTGGGTGGTGCTGACCAGTGCCAGATGAGCTATGATGGTGAATCTTTTTCCTGTTAAGAACTGGGACTCATTTTATAAGGGTGGTTGAAAAGCCTCTGGCTGTATAGAGCACATATATGTCTTTTTACCAACCCTTCTGCACTAACACAACTGTATGCAAAAGCTTGGAGCACGTGGGGGTGAACAGTTCATAGGGCAGATGTTATTAACCTGTAAAAGCCTTCCAAGGCATCTCTGACAGAACTTTGAGTGTTTTGGTGTTGTAGTAACAGAAATGGCACATCTTGACTCAGAGAAGGTGAGATGAGATCAGCAGCAGGACCAGAGAGGTTTATTGCTTTGAGACTATTTCCCTTTGTGCCACCTGGTGTCAGCAGAACCTAAGAAACTGAAAACCATTACAGTGGATTAAGGTGGTTTTCATTAAAGCCTCCTTCCCTAAAGAAAAATTATCATTCCAATGATAATTGACACTGCTGTTACTTCAGAGTGTATTTGATAAAAGTATGAATGAATCTGTCTTAATTCTGGCATGAGTTTGTTTCTTTGAGGTGTTCTTGCTCCTCAGAAGTCACACACTGTTTGTTTTACTGTGGATTTTTATTTCTATCTCATGATAGCTCCAAAGAAGTTCTCTCTAATTGCTTTCCTTTGTTTGTTTTGTGTGGTGGTGTTCACAGGGGTCCCAGGATGAGGGAAGAGATGAGAATCTTGACTCCATGTTTCAGAAGGTTGATTTATTATTTTATGATATATATTATATGAAAAGAAAATGATATATTAAAACTATATACTAAAATAATAGAAGAAAGGATTTCATCAGAAGGCTAGCAAGGAAAGAAGTGGAATCATAAAAAAGGTTGTGACTCTCAGAGAGTCTGAGACAGCTGGACTGTGATTGGCCATTAATTAAAATTAACCAAATCTACCAATCAAAGATGCACCTGTTGCATTCCACAGCAGCAGATAATTATTGTTTTTCTTTTCCTCTGAGGCTTCTCAGCTTCTCAGGAGAAAAAATCCCAAGGAAAGGATTTTTCATAAAAGATGTCTGTGACAGTTTGGGGTTAGGGGGGCACAAGACAGGAATGTAAAGAGCAAACACAGTGGTTGTCAGTCCTGGAATATTCACATTCTAAAAGCTGTAGTTTCAGGGGGAAGTTTCAGTTTCAAAAGGGCAGCCAGCTGGAATATTTCTCCCTATGGAGAGCTGATTGTTGTGTCAGGGTCTCACAGTGCTGTTTGCTGTCCCTGAGGCAGGCACAAAGAGCAATCAGCCAGGCAGCATTCCCTGGAGTGCTTTAGGAAGTGGAACAGCATGGGCAACAAGCTTGTGGTGCCCAGCCAAAGACTTTTCCACTCTTGGCCAGTGTGGAAAATTTCCAAGAGGTTGATAAACATCCTTAGAAAAGAAACCTGAACAAACCCCCTGAACCTGCTAGAATGGTTTATGATATGATAATACATAGTGAGGACTTGATGGAATGGGAAGGAGAGTGGAGTAATGCAGATGTTTCTTATGGATTAAAAGGAATAACAATGAAAACTTTAAGTTTTAGGAAATTTATTGGAATATAGCCAATACTTCATAAGTTGAAGCATCCACTACAACCATCAAGTTGTTGTGTGCCTGCTGCAAAACTGCCTCTGTGTTTCAGGGGAGAAGAGGGAGTTGAAAAACTCTTTTATTCCAATTAGTTTAACATCCATGGATTTTTAACACATCTAACAAAACATTTGATGAATAAATTTCCATTTCCCCACCTGTGTTTTGGGGAAATCCATGTTGTTCTTCTATAAAACTGATTAGCAATATTTCTGATGGTAGGACATTATTTTCCATTATGCTCCAGTGGTGACAGTATACTGAGCTAGCCAGAATGTTCCTGCAAATAATTACAGTGAAATAGAATGTATTATGGACTAAAATCCATAAAGAAAATTGATCAGAGTATTTAGATTCAGGCTAATGTCTCTTTTTAATAGGAGGCATTGTTGAGAAGTCCATGGAGTTATATGCAGCCACATGCTGATAAGAAAACCATCTTGAAGAGCAGCATAGTGCATTCTTGCAAAGATAGAAGCGCTGACATTAAAACTGAAACTGTTTCATTTGTATTCAACATGTTTTAGGAAAAATCCAACATGTTTTAGGAAAAAAGATTTCAAAATAGCCCAGAAGTTTTGGCTACAACCCCCTAACTTCAAATCTGGTTTGGTGTTGGAACTGCGCTCTGTGTTGATGTGTTTGCACTTGTATTTCACCTGTGCCAGCTCCAGAAATCTCCCAGGGTGAGCAGGATGTCAGAAGCTGTGCTGCTCCTGATGTGGGCACTGGTGTTGGTGATGCTCCAATCTGCCCCAGACAAGGCAGAAATGTTTTTGCATATCAATGCCAGGTCACTCGCCATTTTTTCCCCCTGTTATTTCCTAACTGAAATACATGTGTTTGTAAAGATAAACACAGAATACATTCAATTCCTGTTTCTGCCTTGTGTGTCCTCAGGAAGGTGCCAGATGCACTGCTTTTGAGCACATTTTATCTTGCCTTCCAGCATCCCTTCTTTCCTCACATCAAGCTGATCAGCTCCTGCTCCTCTGTCCATTGTAACCCCATGCTGAAAAACGGACCCATCCCCCTGGGGCTCTTCCATAAGCCCAATTTCCAGCACAGCTGGCAAAGTGGGCTTTGTTTTGGTTTTGGAAATGTTTAGAAGGATGTAAAAATAAAGTAAAAGATGATGAGAAGGAAAAAAACCTGTTTGCCTGTGCAGGCATAAGTCCCTTTGAGGTCCCAGTGGGGAAATGGGGACTAAGGGAGAAGGGGAACAGCTGGAAGCTTGAGTGGTATCTGTGAGGTTTATTCCTTGGAGTAAACCGTGTAAAAGATGCTTCAGGTGTGAACTGGATGTTTCTCCACTGATGGCAGCATGCCCAGCATTACCAAGTG